ATTCAAATATTATACTGCAATTCAAAAGTATAGGACTACTTGTAAAAGATAGTTTATAGTGACAGTATATAGATTTGAATAATTGTTCGATTTAATATTGTTAAGTTACATAGCAACAAATAACATTTAGCAATCACAATAAATTGACACAGATTTCATAAAAATAGTAAATAGTAAATAGTAGACAGTACGGATAAAAACAAATTTTTTTTTTTCTTTCCTGTAATAAAATTTTATATAAAATAATAAAGAAACAAATATTCTTATGCGAAAGTTATCAACTTTTTGCACAAACAACATTTATTTTCGAATGGAAATCGATATTTTCCTCTTATATCAAGAAGAGTTAAAAAAATGTTACCAATTTATGACGTTTATAATATTCAAACTTGATTTGCAAATAGAAATTCTATACGCTTTATTAAATTCGGAAAAATTTTATAAAACTTCCCGGAAGATTATTTTTAATTAATTTTTTCGAAGTTATTTTTAATTAAATTCAATTGTTCAAAATAATTGAAAAGAAAAAAAAATAGAAAAATTTAATCCAATTTTTTTCTATATTTTAAAATATTGTGATATTTTCATTTCAATCTTCTTCTCATCGGTGTTTTATTTCATCGAAGTTTAATGAGCGACGATAAACATACCTTCAGTACTTTTTCCGATGTTGCATTATTTCAAAATTCTTGACTTATACGAAGGAAACAAAAGGTATCCTATAAAGCAAATAATAGTAAAAAAAAATTGTGAAAAAAAGTTATGAGTAGTAATATAATAAATACAGAATGTTACTCTGAAATTATAATACAATCGAATGGAAGACAATTGCATGTGCAAAAATGAATCAAAAAGAAAGTATAGTATTTTCTTTATTTAAGACTTTACAATAAAATCAAGTTTAAATGTTTGTTAAATAGATTGAAATTTAATTAATCGATAAGTTATTTTGTCTGTATAAATAAATGCAAAAGTAAAGTAAAATTTTTCTGTTTAAAGCCTCGTATTGTAGAATTTGAACGTGTTTAATTGATATATTAAAGGTCAACAATACAATCGTTGCATTATCTTTATTTAATAACTAAAAATGCAACATCTGCACCATTCAATAATTGTGAAATTAACATTATTAATTTTTAGATTAAAACCGAAAAAGTTATTCTTATTCAGAGAATAAAGTTCTTAAAACGCAACGGTTGTTTTTAACACTTTAAAAACCAATGAATAAATAGGTTGTCCTAAAATCGATAGTGCAGCCAGAGAAAGAATAAAATTTTTTCGTATAAAGTTTGATTTTTAAGAAAATTAAGTTTGAAAATTTATCAAATTTATACTTAAATTAAGATATCTAGATAAATTTATCAGATATAATTTAGCTAATTCTAAATCTGACAGAAAAGAATAATTAATAAAAGCTTATTCTACATGAGAAAATAAATAAAAAATGTAGCATAAAATTGTTTTAAAAAGGTGCTTGGTTTTTGAGCTTGGAATTGAATTTGAAAATTTATCAAGCACCGAAACATATTCAAAGACTATTTTCTTAAAAATGAAGCTTTAAATAAAAAAATTTTATTCTACATTTTTGACTTACTTTTGCACGTAGAGTAATCTTCTATTAATAATTCTAATACGTTTAGAATTAATCAAATTCCAGCATGCTTGTTAAATGTTCAAACTCGATTTTTCTCGAAAACAAAGCATCTTACAAAAATATTTTATTCTTTATTTTCGAGTTATTTTTTCATGTAGAATCACTTCTTTTTCGCTTGTACTGATATCTTGTATAAATGACTATATTATAAATGACTATATTAAGAATAGTAATGCACACGATGACTCAAAAATATAGTCGATAACACAAAAATATATTATAACACTTTTTAAATAAAAAGCATAAATATTTCAAGTATTTTCATCTTGCATTAACATTTAAATATTATTAAATTTATTCTAAATGAAAAAATATTATCGAATAATTTTTAAAAAAACAGCTTGAATATATTAAAAACAAAGTATTTTATGATAAAATTTTATTCGATATTCTTCAAATCGATATTATTCAATACTCTTTTATTATTACAAGTAGAATAACCTTGTCTCAATTATTTTTTCTTGTCTAATTTGGAGTCAAATTCAAGTATACTTGACAAATTTTTAGAGTTGATTTTTTTTCAAAAACGGCACCTTAAATAAAAGAATGTTATTCTATCTTTTCGACTTATATTTCCATGCAGAATCACTCACCAATCGTATATATACAATTTCAAGTTTCATACTGTATAATATAACAGTAGACATATTTGCTTTGATTTCTAGTCAAACGACAACCGACAGATTAATTTTGAAACTTCATAATAATTTCTTAAAATTTGTTATATGATCTTTTTCACGAAGTTGCAACAGTTTAAAATGTCGACAATTTTTCATCAAGTTACGAATATTTTGATAATATTTATTGATTTATTCGTTTCAATTTGGGTCGGTAAGGCTAACTAATTTGACATTTTCCAGGTGCTAATAGTTTATGTTATCTTTTAATCGGCCTCGTAAAAGTTATTCGAAAGTTTTAATAGGAGTCTAGAGTCGCGACGAAAAAGAAATTGAAGCCATGTAATCATCGTTAAGCCCTTTGCGCTTGGTTTCAAATACAGGTTGGCTGAGAAACTTCTATTATGCAAATATTTAAGTACAACGAGATATTAATAGAGCACCAAAGAATTTACCTCTAATTGTTAACATTTATCTTTTTTATCGCATTCTATTAAATAATAAAATGTTTGGTGATAAGCTGTTTTATAAAAAATTAAATAGTCATTAATATAATTATAAACATTTTTTAAATATATCGTTCATAATAATTATTGGCCAGCGTAAATTTTCATCGTTTTCCAATAAAATGTTATTAAAAGTCGTAAATAAAATACTAAAAAATACATTCATTGTAAAGTGGCATAACGATTTCCAAACTTTTTTTAATAACACGATGAAAAATCTGCTGCTGAAAATTGTTTTTTTTTTTTTAATCAAATCTGGCAATAAGATGTAGAGACAAGTGTTTGATAAAGCACAAGATTGATCAACTTACTATGATATATATTTTGTACTCATCTGCAATAAAATTAAAAATGACTTGTCTTAATATGTATGGATGTGCAGTGATTCCAATTAATATTTGGACACTAAATATTTAAACTGTTATATTTTTGTAAGAAACACCCTAAAACAATACCCTGGGCTTATTTTAAAACCTAATGCCTCTACTTTTCAATACTTTGAAATGTTTTTATATCATGTAGC